TATGAGAGTTGTCACGCTGTATGTCTTTGGTCTTTTGGACAATCCCCATTATTTCATGGAAGTGCTCTTCCTTTTAGTCCACCTTTGCCTAACCTCATGTATGAGGACCATTGGCGTGAGAGAGATCAGCAACACGGTTATCCTATTTGCTCATGATGAAAAAACAAGGCAGTTTCTTTATCACAACAACTATTCTCTATCGCCAAATAATAAAATCATATTCAGGAGTGCTGTGACTTTAGAGCTCTTGCTGCTCAAACTGAAGAATTTGAAATTACCGCATTATAAAATAGCTCAGGTGTGGGTCCTCAGGTAGCCCAGAAGCCACCCAGGGGAAATCAGCCACCAGCCACACTCACCTTCAGAGTCTAGGGGGTTTCAAACCATGTAATTCCTGCCTACTGGCTTCTTGATTTCCAAATTGCCCTTGCGTATTCGGAGCAGATTCCTGCAGTTCTTTGGGCCAAGAAAGTTCCTATTCCCTCGTCCCAACACTACCAACAATGGTGCCGTTAGCTCTCTGTCCCCAAAAGGAAGAACTGTAGGAAGCCTGACCCAACTGAACCATGTTGAGAACATAGAAGCTACTCCTTTTAGGCTCTAGAACCCCTTTCCCTTTCTTGTTGAAATGGAAGGTACGTTCTTACTACCAATGCAAAACACCTGGCCTTATTTGATCACTCTAGACTTCAGAGGAAATCAAGCCCTGCACTGTGCCCGGGGGCCTGGATGGAGTGAGGAAACACTTCGAGAATAGGCAGATGACCCCTTCAAGGACATTTGCTCGCTCCCAGAACTAGCATAGATCTGCAGAGGTAACAATGGCATTTTGAATACTAACAAATGAGGTCTGCTTTGTTAAAAGCTCGAGGGAAAAATACCATTATTTGCTTTATTCTGGGTTTCACCGTTCCTGGGGGTGTTCAAGGAAAGGTTGGACATGGTGCCTAGGGACATAGTTTAGCAGGTGACATTGGTGGTAGGGTGATGGTTGGACCAGATGATCTTGGAGGTCTCTTCCAACCTTGGTGATTCTATGATCTTCCACGATCTTCCTTAAACAGAGAAGACATGGAAAAATTTGCACCCCATTTTCAACTTGCCCTCCTTGAGCTTCACCTAACTTTGACAGTTCAAACTTCTCGCCATATGGGTTCCTTGTGGTGCTTGTAACCCCCTAAATCATCAAGGTACACCGCCATGAAGGAACCATTTGGGGTTAACACCTGTTACAGCAGAACTGATTTGTGACAGTCCTTCACAGGCAGAAACAAAAATCTGTATTACTGTTAATTCTGCAATTCTTTGTATTTGTGTTCAGGAGACCTCGAGTACCACTCAGCTCCCACTATCAAGCAGCACAAGGGAAGCTGAGTGCAGTGCTACGGCCACCAAAGAAGCCCCACTGGAAGCCTTTCAAAGCCAAGAGGTAACTTTATCAATTAACAATTATATCATTCGGCAGTTATACCGAGATGCTGATCCTTATTTGCTTTGCATCTTCCTCCAGCACTACTTGGTACAGCAAGAGCTTGATGTTGTGCCGATTGCCACCCTCCTTTGGCAGGGCATAACAATGATTTTAGAACAGTGTCCTCGACAGGGTTGTTTGGATGTGGTAATGAATGTGGCTTCCCATTTAGACTTCTTTGTGATGTTTCAAAGACAGCGACAGAAATATGGAATATTCTTCCATGTTGCACTAAATCCCACAGTAACGTGAAGGTTTTGTGCACAGGTTTCTCTCGGGGAGCAAGTGACTCCAGAGACAAATGGGGTTTCTACACTGACCCTGCATACTGATGAAGCAGGTAAGAAGTGGCTTGAGAGTAAAGGCTCACAAAGGAGCACAACAGACCAAGTTCTTGGCAACTGTCTTGAACAAATGTGGGACTGCTCTTAGGATACAGATACAGGCCATTGTTCCAAGTTGTTCTGTGCCTCGTTCCTCAGCTAAGCACAATCATTGGTCTCAGCAGGACCTAAGAAATGGGTTTATGTGTTGGCACACAGATAGGAGTTTGGCAGAAGGAGGTACCTTCAAATATGTGCTGAGCTGCTGGAAAGAGCAGGGCATTTTAAGAGCTGTCTGAAGACACACGCAAATGCTTGCCCCTGTATAGCCAAAATTGTGGAGGATAAAGGCTCAATTTATAGCCAAGCTGAACAGGCCTGGAGACCATGAGCATGGTGTTGAGGTGCTGCTTCTGCAATCGAGTGCTGCCATTAGAATTCACACATTCGGTTAACACAAAGACCTCAGTGCTCTGTGAGCCCTGACATTCAGGCAATTCAGGTACGGTTAAACAGCAGGTGATAGAAAACGTGTCTCTCAACACTTCTTCCATCCATTTCCTTCATATTTCTTCTCTTCACATAGTTCATTGTTCATTCACTTTTTTTTTTTTTTGATTGCAGTAATAGAAATAGATGCAGCTATGAACGAGGAGGTCCCAAAAACTTCCACAGAGGTCTGTGACCATCAGATGGAAAGGACAACAGAAGAAAATGCTGTTCCCAAAAACAGAGAGACTGCAACATCTGCACAAGATGGCAAGGTCTGTGCTTTTTATTGAAGAGTGTAAGATCAGACATTGGTTTGTCTAATATAGTCTGAATTTCTATTTTTACGATGTAGTTGCAATTAAAAATGGAACCTGTGAAAGTGGTGGGAATACACGGAGCTTAGCAAGCAGGGGCACACAAAGTAGTATTTAGTACAGCCTGTAATTCAGCGAGTACTTCTACTATGTGACAAACACAACTGAAAGTAGAACTCAAACGCTGCTGCTTTTCCTTTCCTTCTCTGCTGAAGGCAGCCTCTTCTTTCACTGTTTTCAGCCTCTAAAAGGCTATGTTTTCTGTCACCGGATTCTCAGATGCACAGAAACTCTCAACTTGAGGAAAACTGAAGACAAGTGTCCAAAAGGTGAGTGCTATCTGGACCAGACAATTCCACTGGCACAGCCGAGGGAAGCACTATGCCAGCCCAAAAGCACCATGCTGTCTTCTGCTGCCAGAATGAGAGCCATGAACGAAATTATCAAGAGCCATGAACATTCTGTAAGACAACCACATCACCAAGGAGCTGCTGGGCTGCCAGTTCAAGGTGTGAACAAGAAAACCCAAAGGTTCAAAGAGGTGACATCTGTTCAGAGGAGAGGCTCACTAAGCCTCAGGAGCCACAGATGAGGGAGCCACTGAGAGCGCCCAAAAGCAAAAGCACTTGTGCAGCTTCCAGAATTAAGGCTATCAGTGAAATCCACAGGAATCAAAAACATTCTCGAAAGCGTCCAAACCAGGAAGGAGCTACTTCTCTGGCAGAGTATGTGCAAGGGTTCAAAACCACAGACTCCAACCTAAAGAATTTTGTTAGACATTGGAACAGGCTGCCCAGGGAACTGGTGGAGTCACCATCCCTGGAAGTCTTTAAAAGACGTTTAGATGTAGAGCTTAGGGATATGGTTTAGTGGGGACTGTTAGTGTTAGGTCAGAGGTTGGACTCGATGATCTTGAGGTCTCTTCCAACCTAGAAATTCTGTGATTCTGTGAATGAAAACACCAGCTTCACAGTCTATGTATTGTGCAGTAATGCTCAACAAGTTGACAATAATGAGATGAAATGACTCAAAACTAACAGACTTGTCTGAACTTTTGTTGCCGGTCTCTCGGACCTTGACAGGTTGGAGAATCGGGTGGGGAGAAATTTAATGAAATACAACGAGGGCAAGTGTAGAGACCTGAATTGGGGCAAGAATGACCCCATACACCGGGTTAACTTGGGGACTGCCCTGCTGGACTGCAGCGAAGGGGAAGTGACATGGTGGTCCTGTTGGAGAACCGGATGACCATGAGCCAGCACTGTGCCCTTGTGGCCAAGAAGGCCAATGGCAACTGGGGGTGTATTAGCAGGGGTATGGTAGAGAGAGGTTCTACTGTCCCTCTACTCTGCCCTAGTAAGACCACATCTGCAATACTGCATCCAGTTCTTGGCCCCCCAGTTCAAGAAGGGGGAACTGCTTGAGAGAGTCCAGTGCAGAGCCACGAGGATGAATAAGGGAGTGGATCATCTCCCTTTCAAGGAAAGGCTGAGGAAGCTGGGTCTCTTTAGTTAGAGGAGACTGAGGGGTGACCTTACTAATGTTTACAAATATGTAAAGGGTGAATGTAGAGGGTGACGGAGCCAGGCTCTTCTTGGTGACATATAATGATGGCAAGGTCTGTGCTTTTAGTTTAAGGTATCTTCCTGTGTAAATCAGAAGTCTGTAAGATTAGACATCAGTCCATCCAATATAGTCTGAATTTCTATTATGTAGTTGCAATTAAAAATGGAACCTGTGAAAGTGGTTGGAATATACGGAGCTTAGAGATCAGGGGTACACAACGCAGTATTTAGTACAGACTGTAACTCAACAAGTAATTCCACTATGTCACAAACACGACTGAAAGTAGAACTCAAATGCTGCTGCTTTTCCTTTCCTTCTGTCCTGGTTTCAGTTAGAACAGAGTTGATTTTCTTCCTGGAGTAGCTGGTGGAATGCTGTGTTTTGGCTTGGGATGAGAAGAGTGCTGGTAACACCCCGATGTTTTAATTGTTGCAGAGCAGTGCTTATACTAAGCCAAGGACATCTCAGCTTCTTGCTCTGTCCTGCCAACAGGCAGGCTGGGGGTGCAGTAAGAGCTGGGAGGGGACAGACCCAGGGCAGGTGACCCAAACTAGCCAAAGGGGTATTCCATACCATCTGACGTCATGCTAAACAATATATAGGGGTGGCTAGCCGGGGGAGGGCGCCGGACTGCTCAGGGTTAGGCTGGGCATTGGTCAGCAGGTGGTGAGCAATTGCATTGTGCATCACTTGTTTGTACATATTATTAGTGGTAGTACTATTGTCATCATTGTATTATTATTATTATTATTATTTTCCTGTCTTATTAAACTGTCTTTATCTCAACTCACGGGCTTCACTTTCCATTTCTCTCTCCCGTCCCAGAGAGGGAGGGGGGAGGGTAAGCGAACGGCTGCGTGGTGTTTAGCTGCCGGCCGGGTTAAACCACAACACCTTCTCTGCTGAAGGCAGCCTTCTTTCCTTGTTTTCAGTCTCTAAAGGTCTACATTTTCTGTCACCAGTTTCTCAGAGATGCACAGAAACTCTCAACTTGAGGAAAACTGAAGACAAGTGTCCAAAAGGTGAGTGCTATCCGGACCAGACAATTCCAAGGGCACAGAGGAAGGAAGCACTACGTGAGGCCAAAAGCACCATGCTGTCTGCTGCTTCCAAAATTAGAGCCATTAATGCAATCATCAAGAACCATGCAAGACGTCTTATTTAAGACGGGCACATCACCAAGGAGCTGCTAGGCTGCCAGTTCCATATGTCTTTGAAGGAGAAAATCCAAAGTGTCAAAAAGGTGAAATCTATTCAGATGCTCACTAAGCCTATGGAGCTGCAGATGAGGGAGCCACTGAGACAGCCCAAAAAGAAAATCAGTTCTGTGGCTTCCAGAATCAAAGCAATCAATGAAATCCACAGGAATCAAAAACATTCTCAAAGATATCCAAACCAGGAAGGAGCTGCTTTTCTGGCAGAGAATGTGCAAGGGTTCAAAACCACAGACTCCAACCTGAAGAACAAAGACGCAAGTGTCACAGTCTGTGTGTTGTGCAGTAATGCACAACAAGTTGACAATAAAGAGATTAAATGACTTAAAACTAACAGACTTGTCTGAACTTTTGCTGCCTGTCTCTCTTGCCTGGAGTCTCAGCAGTCTTCTACCATCTTTCTTCGGCAAAAGCATGTCTAAAAGAAAAACGGTGAAAAGCACAATCAGAGGAAGAACTCTGGATCCCCAAAGTACCAGTCTGCAGGTCTTACATACAGGCTACCATTATGTCATGATAACAACAACCTGCTGCCCATGAAGATTAATCTTACTTTGAATTCTGTAGGCACTGCAATACTATGCTCCTCCGAAAATCAGGACATTTGTGACCTGCTTTTCATCCCCGAAGACGGCTTCTTCTGCCATCAGTCAGGAGCTATTAAACACTGCCACCGCTAGAGCAACACACAGACTGCATGGATATGTGGTTTAGACCAGGGGGAAAGGTGACCACTGGAGATCAATGAGTTCCGTCGTAAGGTCCCTAGACCCCCCCACAAGCTGCTTCCAGTCAGTAGAAAACTACCTGTTACTTCTCAACATCAGAAACTCTGCTTGCAGATGTTAGAACGAACCAAACATTTTAAGCTCCTGGCCCCTGCCCCAACAAGAGTCCATTTCTAACCTCTATAGAAAGACTAGCTCCTAGAAAGACTGGGTGCACAGGACAGCAAGAGAACAACCACAAATGGTATGTGAGCATGCGTGAGTGAATGGGTGTGTGTGAGCGTAAGCCTTTGCCAGTCCTTCCTTTCCCACAGCATCTCTACTGGTACGATGCTAAGGAGCCTCTGGGATCCTGAGCCACAGCTGCACAAGACTGGTGGTGTCCTGGGGCAGTTACTGCCAAAACAGTCACTACTGTATTCAGATATTACTTTTTAAAAGAAGTTTCCTACATATAGGTGAAGCTGTACTATCAGAGTGCATCTTTCCTCTATACAAATACACTTTTAAGTAAATGATTCCTTCATATAAAAGTTCATGCATTTGTTTGGATGTAGTGGTGTAGCACAAAGCCTGATACTGTTTATGTGATAAATAGGCAGGAGGGGGCAAGAGAATAAAAATGAAATGCTGAAGGTATTTGAAGCTCTGCTTACCTGCAGAAGAAACTGCAAGCTCTTCCAGTGATGGTGTCAGAAGCATGCAGCTAGCTCTCATGTGCACTTCCAGGGAGTCTTATTTCACCAGAAAAGGCTGGTAATATAAACATGATGTTTATAAATAACCTGTCACACAATACACATAGGAAATGGCAGGAAAGTATAAATTACAGAGCGATTGAGAGGGAATATGTGAAGTTGTCAGGCAGTCATAAACATCAGTAGAGGTTTATACATAACCATTTTTAAAAAGTAATGAAAAGGCATCATTTGCAGTTTGACAAAAGATATATTTTAGAAAAGATAGCATTTCATCCCTGTGTACAGTAACATCTATATAGTCCTTTACTGTGTGTTTACTACTTAGAAAGGTCAATAAATAGTAAGACATAAACAGTAAAGTATAAACTGTTGCAATATAGACTTTGCATCCTATGGAAGTCAGAAGTATGGCCTTCATAGTATCTGTTTTCGCCAGAATTATATTGGTGACAATGAGCTAAACAGTAACCTTCTGCTTGTTTTAAATCATAGTATAGCGTCGTGTCGGGGACTTGAGAAGGTTTTATTCATAGCTGAGAAATGGGCAGAAAAGAACATAAATGTCAAGTAAGTATGGAGAGAACTTTAAAGAAAATCTGCAGAGCTTTGGAAGCAGTCAGGAGACTGGCAATTTTGAATGTCTCCCGAGACCAGAAGGGGACACGAGACCTTGCAGCTTCAATATTTTCCAAAAGCCAGAGATCTCAGGCTCCTCAATTCAGATTTTGAGTAAACAGGAGATTCTTCTATGCAAAAGTCATACTGAAGCTTTTGAATTTTGTCATTAGGGTACACTGTCTTTGCGAGCAAAGTAACAGTTCAGTAGCAGATTTACTGGGTCTGCCAGGCACACAACTAATTCAAGTAGTCAGTTGCTTTCCCTGTAAGAAATGAGTCAAATCATAGTATTATATAGAAGGAAAAATCCAGCTACTTATTTCAAAAACTTCATGCCTCCTGTGTCCCTCACAATGCAAATGACAATCTTTCAAAGTACATTTTAAATATTATACGATAAAGACAATGATATAATTTTATCTCATTTCATTTTGGACTGTAACATAGAGATAACTTTTTACCTCATGCATAATGTTTATTGTAGTGGAGTGTTAGGCAATCATTTCAGAGAACACTATAGTATTAACAAATAGAGAAAGAAGGAAGAATGGGAACATACACCAAAACAAGTGTATGTCATTTCTGAGACTTAAAAAATACATTAATTTTCCTTTGAATAAAGAAAACTTTGAAAAATGTTTATGAAAAGGCACTTTAAATGGAAACCCTGAAGGGAGAATGGGGGAAAGAGAAAGGAGGAATGAGTGATAGTTTCTGTAAATTATGTTCCTTTCTTAGCAGTATTGTTCTCATGGCTTGCTAAATGGTTGTCATATCTAAATACTGCCATCATATTAGGAGATTTTTTTTTTCTCCCCATGATGACAAAGTAACCTGAGGACAGAAAATTATGTAAACTACAGGAAAAAAAAATGGCAATTACCAGATACCTTACAACATTCAATGCAGTTTTATCATCATTTGTTTTGATTTATTTAGCTGCAGAATAAGCTTCACAAAGCAAAGTCCACTAATGAGCTATCAAAATGGCAACAAACAACAAACACTAATGAGTTAGGGTGGAATTCAACTTTTCTAATTTATACATCTAAAAGTTAGACATTGAAGACTTTGTAGTCAGTAGAGAAAAATGGGCATCTTCATAGGGTTATTCATCTCATCCTAACATGTGTCTAGATTATGCAGCACGAATTGTGCTTCAGAAATGCTTATTTCTTCTATTGACTTTAAAGGGATCCAACGGTGCCTAGCTGAGATTCAGATGTTTCACTTTTGAATAATACCTAAGGGTAGCTGAGGTTATTTCTATCTATTATACATTCAGTAGGAAAAGTCTGTCATACGGCAAACTAGTGTACAGCCAGCCAAGTAAATCTTCACTTTTCAGAAGAAAAAGAGAGTAGAAACTAAAATACCAGGAATTCTCATGGTACCATGTTAAGACAAGTGATTTTTTGTTTTGACCCCGCAGGCATAATAGGTAGATATTTCCTTATTAGTTATCTTATTAAAATGATTCTCTGTGCTTTCAAATTTAAATCATCATGGCTTTGGCTTCACGAACATTCTAGGGTACTTTGCACAGGGACTCAAATGAACCATAAATCCTCTTGGGAAGAATCCCGCTCTTCCACAGAACAAAAATGATCTGTACTATCTGTTAAGCATAAGCTAATGTATGCGTTCAGTCTTATACTCACGATTTTTACCTTTACCTTTTGTGTCTGCTTTTTAATGGTTTATCTATGCACAGAATGTTTTTGACTCAGTTGCAATAGTTTTTTTTACTGTACTGAACTTTTACACCACACATAGACACTTGTATTGAGGTTACGAGTCCAAAACCAGACATGGTATTCAGATATGAAGCCATTGTGGCTTTGTACAATACTGGTGAGCAACACTTCCTATTTATATCACTGGTGACACAATTCTTTTCAGCTGAACTTACCACTACGTGTATCACAATGCGGTCTCAGATGTGGCCTAAGAAATGAATTTAGGATATGAAAAGATGTCACAAGAATTGTTCAGTCCTGACCTAGGCAATGTCCAAAAGTTGAAAGTTCCATGTATCCTATTATATATCCCTTGATGCATTCAGGTGTCTGCTGTTATTTTGGCAGATAAATGTATTTCACAAATTACATTTTAGTCACAAAGACTTCACAGCAATGAAGAAAAAATGTCATTGTTAGGGGAAATTGTAACGCTATTAGGAAAGGTAAAAATTTGGAAAGAAAGGCTGAACACATCTAAGGGAACCAAAGCTGGCTCATACATAAACAAAAACATGGCCAGTAAACATACTAATTGGACTATGTTTTAAGTGACTTATGAGTATTTTTGACATCAAAGCCACATGGTATGATTGACAATAAAAGAAGGATTAAAAGAAAATATCTCAAACTTACGGAATAACTGTAGGATTTAAAAGAAATTGGAAAGGCAGGAACATTTCTGAAAGTATAAAGCATAAAACCTAAGAAAGCCAGAAACAAGAAACAGGGAAAAAAATCTTTTAAAACTATATTTCAGGGGAAGAAACATCAAAACACTGTCTCTTTGCACCTTGTCAGGAAGCGCTTGATTGAGTTTTACACAGTGAGTACATAAGAATTTGTTTTCTAGAGAATAATGCTTTGAGCAGTATGTATTAGAAAAACCCTTTCAACCTTAAACATCACAGCATTAACTTTGTAATTGACATCCATGCTCATTGAGAGTATGTGGAGGAAAGAGAAAAACAATCCTCCAACACCTTTTTAATTTGAGATCTTCTTGTAACCTTTGATTATTCTTCAGGTTCTCTGAATTGGGGTTTGCTGTAGTTTTATGTTAACCTATTGAAATATGCTTTGTTTACTAAGTGTTTTTAATCAAGATATCAGACCAAAATAATCCTTTATTCTAATTTTGGTTTCAAGTATTTCACTATGATTTTCAGATGTTTAGACAATATAGGAAGTTACTGTATTTGGGTTAATTTGATCACCTCTAAATGGCATTAACATAATAATTACCAAAGCCTTCCTATTTTAGAGATTTACAAGTCCAGATGTTGTAAAATGAGTAGAATGTCCAGAGGTCTATTTCAGGTCTATTTCAAAGCTGAGTTTAAATGAATAAAAGGTTTGTGTTGATTCTGATGGATTTAGAGCCAAACCTTATCCTCACTCTCCCCACCACAGTAATGGGATAAACCTCAGATGATACTTAGATCTTCTGTCTTTTTCAATACCTTCTAATTTCTCCCATCTTACATGCACAATCTTTTATTTTTTTCATAAACTGACTTGCAACTCATTGTCTAAGTGACATGTACTGTTTCTGAAACCCAGCAGAATGGGAAAGAGGAAGACATCTCTATGGAAGTTCTGATGGCTATCTTTAAAAATGATCAGGAAATAGGATTTGTATCACCCCGTGTAATATAATTTCTGTCTAAATCCATAAAAATTAAAGGAGTAGCTGTCTACTCTTTTTATCTTTTTTTTTTTTTTCATCTGTTATTAAAATAGACATGAGATACACTACAGCTAGAGTATCACGTGATTTTACTCTAGTAACATGAGATCTCCCAAAGGGAATATTGCAGTATGTAAGCTGTATCACCCAAATGGTAAAATAAACATAACGAAACTCTTCCCAAGAGTGCATTTTCTGTAATGAATATTGCATTACATGTGATACAAAGGAGAGACAAGTAAAACAGATGTTTTTTTGTTTGTTTTGTTTTTTGCTTGTTAGCTTGCTATTCAGAAAGAAAAGAAAATAAAACACAGACAATTTATATCCTGACTGGACATTATCCTGCATCTTATAGATACTTTGCACTGAATACTATGATAAAAGCATTTAATTCACAGAGTATTTACTGCATTTACCTTCACTTTACTTGTTTCTTCCATCTTCTACCCACTTTGTGTAGAGTATGTAGTGTACAGATGAGACCATCTACCACTTTAGGTTTGTACAGTATTTAATTGTACAAGGAGTCACATATTAATTACTGTTGCCTTTTGAGCTGAGTTTAATAGCCTGCATTTGTTCATCCACCAGGCTGAAGTGCTAAAATGAGATAGACAAGCAAGCACTGCATTGGTTATTCATGAGAAGCTTGACGTGTTTCCATGTGTATCTAGGAGCAAAACAGTAACATGTCCATTTATTTTGAAAAGAAAAATTAAAAAAATGGAGCACCTAGTGCTTATGTGTCTCTAGAGTTAAATGACAGCTGAATGGAAGCAATAGGGCTGCCACTTTGAATCTTTTACTTGAATTTCATTAACTCCCCTTATGTGGATTAACCTCCAATTTATTTTTCTTAACCTCTTTTTGTTCCTCACTAGTAAGGCCTGAAATATAGTTATCCAGTGGTATGTTCATTTAATGGAATGAAGATCGAATCTTTGTGTCAACCTGGAAGTGCTAATCAAAACAAGCATTAATCATCTTCAGAGAGCTGTTGTG